CAGAGACTTCATCAGCCTGAGACCAGAAGAACTAGATGGTGCCCAGCTACCACCAATGAATGTCCTGATAGGGAACACAAGAGAGGGTCCCTGATGGAGCAGTAGAACCATGAGATGCAGAGCTCAAATTCTAGTAAGAAGACCAGACTTAATGATCTGATTGAGACTGGAGATGCCCCGGAAAGCATGGCCCCTGGACTCTTTATCACCCCAGAACTAAAACAATTTCCGAGGCCAACTCTTCAGAAAGGGATTCCACTGGCCTGTGGGACATAAAGTGATACTTGTGAAGAATGTGCTTCTTAGTCAAGTAGATACAGGAGACCAAGTGGGCAGCTTCTGTCCAGAGGTGAGATGGGAAGGCAGAAAGAGTTAGGAGCAGGTTGAATGTTCATGGGGAATTAGGGGCGGAGGGGAGGAGTGTGCTGTCACAGAATGGGGTGAGATTGGGGTCTCATAACGATGTATGTTAAAAAAATAAAGTGAATTTTGTAAGTAAAAAAAAGAAAACCCTATGGAGCACAGTTCTACTCTGACGTACATGCATTCACCAAGAGCCAGAATCGATTTGAGGGCAACTGGTAGTAATTACTAATTTGCTAGCCTTTCAGATTTTCTCTTCTAGGAGTTGCCTATTATTTTCCTTGCCCATTTTTTTCTGTAGGAAAGCCTGTGTTAAATAATATGTTTATAACAAAAAACTTAAATCACATTTACGTTCCTTCTAAACATTTTTATAATATTCTGAGCCTCTACGTTTAATATGATGTTGTTTTTCAAAGTATTCATTTCTCCCTGGGCCCCTTTTCTAGAACCCCAGTCCAGGGAAATGTTAGCATACTATGTCCCTGGTGGTCACAATCCAACTTCCCAGAACTACCTTAGGCCAGTGAACAGAAGCCTTCTTTACTGTGGCCTGGCCTTTGGCTTTTTTGCAATCGAGCCTTGCATGGAGCACATTACAGCAAGTAACCCTGTAGGTTAGTAGTTAGGTAGAGCTGCGTTGAAATTTTGACTCTGCCTTTCTAGCTGAAGGCAAATAGTTTATCCTAAGTCTCAGTTTCTCATCTGTAAAACTAGCCAATCAAAGGATAAAGAAGAAAGAGAATGAAATTCAACCCAACCTTCAAGATTCAGTTTGAAATCTTCCTTGATCTTCAAAAGGAATTGAGAAGATTCTGTACATATATAAGATAAAAAATTAGTTAATAAGTGAAAAGGCTGTGTTATGGATTGAATTGTATCCCCCTAAAATTTGTGTCAACTTGTCTAGGCCATGATTCCCAGTATCGTGTGGTTGTCCACCATTTTGTGACCTGATGTGGTTTTCCTCTGTGTTGTAAATCCTAACCTCAGGGATGTTAATGAGGCAGAATTAGAGGCAATTATGTTAATGGGGCAGGACTCAATCTACAGGATTAGGTTGTATCTTGAGTCAATCTCTTTTGAGATATAAAAGAATCCAGCAGAGAGGAGAGGGACCTCACACCACCAAGAAAGAAGTACTGGGAGCGGCATGTGTCCTTTGGACCTGGGGTCCCTGTGCTGAGACACTCCTAGACCTGGGGGAAGATTGATGACAAGACCTTCCCCAAGAGCTGACAGAGAGAGAGCCTTCCTCTGGAACTGACCCCATGAATTTGGACTTCTAGCCTCCTAAACTGTGAGAGAATAAATTTCTGTTTGTTGAAGCCATCCACTTGTAGTATTTCTGTTATGGCAGCACTAGATAACTAAGACAGGCTGGAAGGACAAACATCCAAATTGAACTATGATTTCCTATAAGTGGTAGAATTATGAAACATTTTAATTTTCTTTGTTGTAATTTCCTGCATTTGCTGATTTTTTTTACCATGGGCATATAAAACTTATTAGTAGAAAAATACTTTATTTGAAACACTGCTTAAACATTTTATAAAAATTAACTCAAAATGGATCAAAGATTTAAATGTAAAACACAAAACTATAAAACTTTTAGGAGAAAATATTCAGGATCTAGGGCTTTGTGAAGGGTTCTTAAACATGACACCAGAAGTATGATCAGAAAAGAAAAAACTGATAAATTTGATTTCATCAAAATAAACTTCTCACAAAAGACCTTGTCCTGTTACCTGTTAAAAAGACAAGCTACAAACTAGGAGAAAATATTTTGAAACTACATATCTAGCAAAGGATTTTTATTTAAAATAAAGAAATCTTAAAACTCAAGTGTAAAAAACAAACATTCCACTTATAAGATGGGCAAAAGACTTGAACAGACATTTCACCAAAAGGGATATATGGATGACAAATAAGTACATGAAGAGATGTTCAACATCATTAGTCATGAGGGAAATGCAAATCAAAACCACTATGAGATATTATTACATACCTATCAGAAAGGCTAAAATAATAAATAGTAATAACACCAAATGGCTGTGAAGATGCAGAGAAACTGGATCGCTCATACATTGCTGATGAGAATACAGAATGGTATAGCCACTCTGGAAAACAGCTGGCAGTTTCTTATGAAACTAAACATACAATTTACACTCAAAGCAGCAGTGGTACTCTTGGAGTTACCCCAGAGAAATTTAAAATTTATGTTCATGCACAAACGTGTACATGAATGTTCATAGAAGCATTATTTGTAGTAGACAAAAGCTGAAAATAACCCAAATACCGTTCAACAGGTGAATGGTTAAATAAGCTGTGGTACATCCATAGAATGGAACACTATCAAGCAATAAAAATGAATGAACTATTGATATGCAGAACAACTTAGATGGACGTCAGGGCACCATGCTAAGTGAAAAAGGTCAATCTCGAAAGGTCACATACTGTATGATCCCATTTATATAACATTCTCAAAATGACAAAATTATAGAAATCGAGACTAGATCAGTAGTTGCCAGAATTTAGCAACAGTGGGAGGAGGGAGATGTGAGAACCACGAGAGAGATCTTTGAGGGTGATGGAACAGTTCTATAGTTCTATACATGTGATAAAATGACATAGGGCTATATACACACTTTATACCAATGACAATTTCCTGGTTTTGATATTGTACTATAGTTACAAAAAATGTCATCACTGGGGAAAACTGGGTGAAGGGTACATAGCACCCGTTTATACTATTGTTGCAACTTTCTATGATTATATAATTATTTTTTAAAAGTCTAAATCCAAAACCAAAAAACTACTCCTTACACAGTGGCTGTCATTAACCCCCAGCAGGTATAATCCAGGAAGAAGCTCACCTCTGGCATCCCAGGGTCCCTGTTTTATTACTGACACACACCAATATCTGTAACTTGTCACACATATTTGGACGTATGTCTTAGTCCCTAAGCTTATGTCCAAGTTCACCAAGGGCAGCACCAGATTTTAGTTGTTTTAATCCATGTGAACGCCACACTTGCAGTGTGATAGAGTGTGAGACTGTGATTGCCAATGGCCTTGTGGGGCTAGGCTGCTACAGAGAACCGCTCCGTAGGGAGGTAGTTGGGTTCTGGGAAGGTCAGCGTTGGGACAGGCAGACTGCCATGTGCCCTGAGTATCCCCGCACATTCCTGCTGGCTATGCCAAGAATGCAAGGACCTGACCACTCTTTGTCTGGACCATTTCTCAGAATTGTGTTTCAGAGAGCAGTCTTGAGGTATGAGACAATGTCTCCCCCCGCAAACAAAAAGCAAGCTTGGTAAATGCTCTGATCTCAGCGTTCCTCAGCTGTGACGGAAGCCCACTACACGTATAGTGTCTACCTGAGCCCCTCTGCATAGCCTGCTTGGAACTTGCTGGGCCATGAGTAATAAAGTCCTTTGTCTCAAAACTTTTTGGTCATGAAATTATTAGCAATTAGCTTTGGAGACATTCAGCAATGGATATGTTGAATGCATCAACCTCCCCAGGAGTCTCGTGTTATCCGCCAGCATCCATTAAACTGTGGTAGGCTAATTTACTAGCTTGCAGGTAGGACCAAATCTCAGATTCTGACAGAGTGAGGTTTCTGGATAGCGTGCTGTTCCGTACCAGCCTTCAGGCTACAAAGAGAATGGCACTGTCTCTGCTGGTTTGGAAGATCTTCCTGAAGGTGCCTTGTTGCCTTGTGATGATGAACAAACTCTCCCTTTCCTTAACTTGTAGCTGCCTGGCTCCTTCCTGTGGCCCTCTGGGTGATTGCTCACCCCTAAAAGGTCCCTTAGGGACCAAATTCAGGCCAGGTCACTGCCAAATTATGGGCCTCTCTAGAACTTACCCATATGACTGTTTGAAAGGCCTCATCTGTATCAGTATCAACTCCATTTGTCTGTCTCTTTACCCCTCAAGGCTGCCAGGCAAGGAAGACCCAGGCGAATGGGGCAGGGTTGGAGGCGGGCCATGCAGCCTTGGCCCTGTGCATTCTGAGAATTTTTACTCATTCAAGCATTCAACATAGCTATTGCTGAATGTTTCCAAAGTTAATTGCTAATTATTTCCAGAACACAAAAAAGAAGACAGAGCCACTGGGCATAGAAGCAGCAAGAGGATCTGGAGTTGGATGGTTTGGGTTTTGACCATTCTTTTTACCAGCATTTGTGACCTCAGGCAAGTTATTTAACCTCTTTGAAAATCAGCCTCTCTCATCTGTAAAATGGAGTCTGTAACGTTAGAATAGGTACACCATGGTTTTTGTAATGACGTGGAGTAGCATCTAGCATGTTGCTGGTCACACAGTTGTCTCCACCTAAGTACTTAAGTTTCCAATTTATCTTAAAACCTACATTCACAGGAGGTGGAAGAGTGGAGGCGGGGAGTGGAGGTATGACCGGACTCAGATTAAACGAATGATAGAAGAGTGAAAGACCCCAGATGAGGCCCTTGGAAGGCAGACCTCAACACTCAGCTCTATAATTATTTGGGTCTCTCAGAGAATGTAGATAAAACACTTAGTGACAGCCTTAAATTCAAGGAATACTTTATTGTTTTAATCACTAGATCACATGTTGTTGCTGATAATGATGAGACATTGCTCACAAAGCTAAACTCATGGGTATAACAGCATTTATGCCTAATATTAGAGTCACTCTGTTTCTTGGCCTTAGACAACACCTCTCCGTCTGGCATCTGTAGACAAAGTTGGAGATAAGGTGAGACACTGGGTTTTTGGTATTTTCTTGGTGGCCCAAGGTGAGTGGAATCACTCTAATTCCTGTGTGTTCTGAAGCTGGTTATAGCTCAGTTTTGGAGTGGGACTCTTTCAGGCCTCTAGAGCTTTTTGTCAAATCCAAGGCCACAGTCTCATGGATGTTCTGCGCGACCCTAATCCCCGATTTAATGGCGGTGTCAATCCAGCCATGGGGCAAGTCTGTGTGCTCACCAGCAAAGTACACCCGCCCTTCAGGTCGGGAAAGTTCCCAGCCATAGTCTACATACTGGTAGGGGGTGAAGGAGACAAAGCCTCCCATGGAATAGGGGTCCTGGATCCAGTGCTTGACTGTGGAGTAGGGGCACAGGGCCTGGATCTCCTCCTTGGGGAGGTTGTGGACTACGGCCAGGTCATCCAGGATGACATCCACTAGCTGGGCATGACTCAAGGCTAGGAGGAACAAGGAGTCCTTATCCTGAGTATAGGAGGCCAGGAGGACTCCTGTGCCATTGGGGAAGACATGGTTGGGGTAGTATATGAAGCGGGCAGGCCGATCGGTGATGGACTTGCCGCCAAAGATGCCATCCCGCTCCCAGAAACACTGTGTGCAGACCAAGAGCACTTTGGTGGCGCTGCTGTAGTGGACAGAACGAAGTGCATCCTGCTTGCTAAGGGAGAGTGGTGGCTGGAAATGGAGGAGTCGGGCAGCCTTGGCCGTGCTGGTCACAATGACGTAATCTGCAGTCAGACGCTGTTTGGGTTGCAGAGGGTCAGCTGTCTTGTAAGTGACGTGGACGACGTCACCAGACGTCTCCACCTCCTTTGCTGGTGAGTGGAACAGCACCGTCCCTGGCAAGAGGGCATCATGCAGGGCCCTGGGGAGCAGGTCAAAGCCCCCAATGATTTCATCAAACCTGAGAATAAGCAGGCAAAAGAGGTCGAGGGAAGAAGTCAACGGACAAGGTCATGCAGAGGGTAGGCCATTTGAACTGGTCAGAAGCCTGTTTCTCTAATGGATTTGCTCTGGCCCTGTGTGCTAGAGAGGCAAAGCAGCTGGCAGCAGGGCTTGCCAGGCAAAGTGGCCATTAGCTACAGGAAACTACAGAAAGGCAACCCCTTTGGGCTGACAAATCAGAAAAGGCATCCCTTCTAGGAGTCCCAGGGTGGTGCAAACAGATGCACTCAGCTGCTAACCGAAAACTTGGAGGTTAGAGTTCACCCAGAGGTGCCTTGGAAGAAAGATCTGACAATCTACTTCCAAAAAATCGGCCACTGAAAACCCTATGGGGCACAGTTCTACACCGACATACATGAGGTTGCCATGACCTGGAATCAACTCCATAGCCATTGGTTTTTGTCTTTGTTTTTGTTTTTTTGTTTTTTTTGAGTTTCTGGGAGGGTACAGGCCATTGCAAAGTCCCTGGGTGGTGCAAATGGTTAAACGCTTGACTACTAGCCAAAAAGTTGGTGGTTTGAACCCACCCAGAAGTGCCTGTAAATAAAGGCCTGATGATCTGCTTCTGAAAGATCATAGACTTGAAAACCCTACGGAGCCCAGTTCTACTCTGCATACATGCTGTTGCCATGCCCCTGAATTGTCTCAATGGCAACTAACAACAACTCAGTCCCTTGCTAGAGAGTGCAAGCTTAGAGAGTAGACTGTGGGCCGGCTCTCAATCACTCCTTTCTTGCCCCTGTGGGTGGTCACCTCCATGCAGTGGCCCAGGATGCCCAGCTCCTGGGGCAGACAAAGACCCTAGGCTCTGACAGCGCTTTTTCAGTCCTTTTTACATGATGCCCTCAGAGAGAACCCAGCAGCATGGATACAACCTTCGTTCTATTGTGATAGCCCACTTGTCTGTCTTGGGATTCATTCTGTTTCAAGGCAGCCCTTGGTTTGTATTTACACAGATTTACCCTGAATAAGGAGTCACTGGTCCTGGTTGGGCAGTGATTAAGAGCTAAGGCTGCTAACCAAAAGGCCTGCAGTTCAAATCCACCAGCTGCTCCTTGGAAACCCTATGTGGCAGTTTTACTCTGTCCTATAGGGTCACTATGAGTCAGACTCGATGGAAACAGGTTTGGTTTAGTTTTTGGGGTGCGCAAATAGTTAAGGCGCTCAGCTGCTCTCTGAAAGGTTGGTGGTTCCGGTTCACCCAAAGGAAAGGCCTAGCAATCTACTTCTGAAAAAAATCATCCATTGAAAACCCTATGGAGCACAGTTCTACTCTGATATACATGGGGCCACCATGAATTAGAGTTGACTCTACGGCATATGATTTTACCCTGAATAAAAATGCTGGGCAGAAGTCAAGGGGATACTACAGGGGAAAGAAGAGGACAAAGCAAAAACTAACTACATGAATCAGCCTCTCAGCCTCTCAGGCCTGGAAGCCTCAGTTTGTCGCCTCCTAAATGTCTGCAGCCTGTTTTGTAAAAGTAGTTCTTATGAACACCAAGCGAGAGTATATCCTGGTGCATCATATCTTTGCGGTCCCAGAAAGTGTGGCCAGCGGCCAGTGGTTTGGTGGCTGGGGGCCTAGGGTGAGTGCCTCTGGTACATCTTCCTGGGCTGAAAGACAGCATGGCCCACCCCCCTGCAAAGAACCCTGGAGCAGAGCTGCAGCCACAGTTTTTGTAACAGGAGAGGCCCAGAGCAAAGAAGAACTGCAGCCTCCTGACAGGATAGCCAGGGGTTCTTAAAGTGGGATTCCCAGATAGGCAGCAGCAGCATCCCTTGGAAAGTGTTAGAAATATGAATTCTCAGGCCCCACCTCGGATCTTTGGAATTAGAAATTCTGGGGCTGGGGCCCAGCAATCTGTGTTTAACGAGCATTTGCGTGATTCTGATGCACACTAGTGTTTGGAAACCTCTGCCGTCTAGCGCCCCCGCCCCCGCCCTTTCTTCTGGGATCTTCACCGGATTTTTCTCTAGTCCTACCACTGCTCTGGTTAGTAACTGACAAACCGATGCACATTCTTCCTCCTCCCGGCCACTCGTTCCTACCGGGACTTCTGGTACTGTAACGTGGTATAACGCAGGGTCTCTAAGAAGGACTCAAAGCAGCCGGTGTCTGTGTTCATCAGGTCCCCAATCATCCGCACAGCCCCGCGGCTCAGGTTCCCCACCTTTATCAGGAACTCCTGGATGTGTGCAAGGAAAGAAGGCAAGCAGGTGAGAATGCTTGGGTGAGGGAGGGCGGGGGATGTGTGACCCCTTGCTTCCAGCTCAGAGACAGCAAGGAACAGAAACAGACGGGGTAGAATGGCAGAACGCAGGTGCACACTCAGCCTAAGGGGCCATGGAGGTTCTGCCTCGCTCACACGGCTCTGAGGACGGTGCTCAAAATGCTCCACTCAATCCTGATAACAAGGAAAATAGCTAACACTTAGTGCCACTCCCCACCTGCAGACCCTATTCTGAGCCCTTCACATAATTCACCTGTTTGATTCTCATATGCAATCCTAAAAGTAATTTATTACCCCCATTTTACAGCTGGGAAAACTGAGATCCAGTCTTCATGTGCGCCTGCAAACATGTTGGACCCAACTGGCTTCTCTGACCTGCCCTGTGAGAGCTGTGCCCTCACACCAAGCCAGGAGGAATCTGAGTACTGAATATTCCTTTTCATCCTGCCCTCACCCCTACTGTCCCTAACAAGAAAACCCCAAAACCCAAAACCTGTTGCAATTGAGTCAATTGCAACTCATAGCGACCCTATAGGACAGAGTAGAACTGCCCCATAGGGTTTCCAAGGAGCACCTGGTGGATTTGAACTGCCAACCTTTTGGTTAGCAGCTGTAGCTCTTAACCACTACACCACCAGGGTGTACCACCCCACAGCAAATGGCTGAGGTCTGCTTCCTGTGCACCCATCTGGCCGGAGACTGTAACCTGTCCTCTGCCTCTGCTCCCTTCTTCCACGCAAACCCAGTGTGGACACGACAAAGCTGGTTAAGTCTGTGCAGGACTGACGGGCAGAGGGAAAGTCCTGGATAAACTGAGTGGAGCTGGTCCCTTTTCACCAGGACAGACAGCTTTGGGGGCTGGGCATCTGGTGTGTAGGCAGAGCAAGGCTGGCCTAGTGCCAGCTTGGGCAAAACCCCATTACTCAATATGTTCCTTTAAACAAGAAGACAAAACCACAAGGCCCCACCATCCCAGGAAGAGCAACAACAACAAAGAGGGATTGGAGAGACAATGGAATAGGAGACCTGCAGCCTGGACAACCAGGGCCCAGAGAGTCAACTCGCTCCCTGCCTCAATGAGTGGAGAGGGTGGGTGTGTTGAAGGCAGGGGCACAGTTATCTTTTCTAATTCGCTGTATTCACCAGTACCTGTATCTCTTCTTCCTTCTTCTCTTCCTCCCTCCCTTCCTTCTGACACATTGAGTATTTAGACAATGGTCAGACCAAAATAGAACTTGGGCCCGTAATCTGCAGCAACCAATTTAGGAAACCAAACCACAACCTCTTTAGCAATTGACCCAAAACAGTCAGGGCTTTGTCAACAACTGGCAGCTTCCCTAAATCTTTTCCCCCTCACTTCCAATTTAAGACAAACCAGAGAAAGCCAAATATGCTCTCCCAATGAATCACAGAGGATGCCCCGCTTCTAGTTAACCCACCAACAGTTTCCCCATGCCAACGCCCTCCAATCAGGGCACACCTGAAGCCTTCCGTTTTTTCCACTATAAAGCTTTCCCACTCCCCTGGCTGCCTTCGAGTCTCTGCCAAAGTCTAGTAATGGTGACTGACTCCCTTGCTACACAAGCTCTGAATAAATAGCCTTTGCTTGTTCTCATTTGGGCGGTCTTTGCTGATTTCCATCCTTCCTTCCTCCCTCCCTCCCTCCTTCCATTCTTTCCTTCCTTCCTATTTCCTGTCTTCCCTCTCCCTTCCTTATCTTCATCCTTCCCCTCTTTCTTCCTTCCTTCCTCCTCTCTCCCTCCATTCCTTCCTTCCTGCTAGACACTGGGCATATGGACAGATAAAACAGCTCCTGTCCTCATGGAACTTACATTTTATCAGGGCAGAAAGACCAGAAACAAACAAGTAAAATATACAGTGTGATACATGTAGTGGAGGAAAATGGGGAAAGGAAGATAGGAAGGGACTTCCAGAGTGGAGAGAGGGAAGCCTCGGTTCAAAGGGGACATCTAAACAACGACCTGAAGAAGACGGGGCTAGCCATGTGAATATATGGGAGAAGAGCCTTCCAGCCAGAGGGAACAGACAGTGCAAAAGTCCTGAGGCTAGACTGGGCTTGATGCAGTTAAGAAACAGCAGAGGCCAGTGTGGCTGGCACAGGTGAGTGGGAGAACGGAGGACTTGGCTCATACTCTGGAGGTACCCTGAGCCATGGGAGGGTTTAAAGCAGAAATGACGTGGCTTCTGTGTACTGCCTCCCTCTGGCTGTGGGCTGCAGAGAGGTTTCCATGCTAGGAACGGCAAATGTAAGGCTGAACATCCCTATATCCTGCTACAAGCCTATGCCTGGGGCTGGTGGTCCCACTGTAATTTCTGGGGAGCCAACGCAGGATGGGGGGTGGGCAGCAGGAAGCGGGGGTCCCAGGGAACTGACCTTGGTGGAGAAGGAGTCGTACTTCTCTAGCACGTTCTTGCAGCTACTTTTCGTCAGCTCTTCCACCACCTGGGCATGGGGAAAGAGGGAAGGTGGATGTGCTGACAAAGGGTGCCTCCAGAAGAACTGAGCTCCCCACAAAGCCTAGGCCTCACCCTCTGGCCCATTCAGCCCTTCCAGGCTCTAGGCTCTCATTTACTTCCTTCGAATTGTGTGTGTGTCTGAGGCTTGCTTTCCAGGACTGTGAGTGTTCCGATGGCAGAAACATCATCTCCACTAGTGGACAGACTACAAGGTGTGCAAAGGTAGGGGCGAGGGCTCCCCCATCAGACTGGGGGCTCTAGGAGGAGGGAGGTCTACCTCCCTGTTCCAGAGATGGGCATATTTCTATACGCCTAACGAGGCCATGGGCATCCCTGTGTGGAGCACACCGTTAAGTGCTGGACTACTAGCCGAAAGGTTGGCAGTTTGAACCCACCCAGAATGGCCTCGGAAGATGGGCCTGGCAATCTGCTTCTGGAAGATTGAAGCCTTGGAAACCCTATCAAATGTGGTTCTACTCTGCGCACGTGGGGTCGCCATGAGTCGGAATTGACTTGACAGCAACTAACAACAACAACAAGAAGGCCATGGTGAATGGGGTGGGGATGGTCTGAGAGCCTGGTCCCACAGACCTATTGATGGAGGCTGGAGCTGAGGGGTCCAGGGATGGGCTGGTCAACACTCCCCGGGGAGCCCAAGACACCTGGACAGAGGTCTCTGTCCCACAGAGCCTGGCTGTCAGCACAGTCCCCATGGGAGAAGGGTCAGAAAAAATGAAGGTATTTTCAAAGTTGAGTAAACATCAGCCGGACAGAGAATGTGGGAAGCCTGCGCATTCCAGCAGGGCTTGGCCACGTTTCTCCTCCTCCACCATGTATCTACAGTAATGACGATTATAATCCTAGCCCTCACCACTGATGGCACTGCTCTTATCACCTTCTACACATTCTCAACGAACTGGGAGAGAGGTTCCACAATGACCACCATTTTACAGAAGCTGGGGCACAGAGAGGGTGTGTATCTTGCCCAGGGTCACGCAGAAAGAAGTGCAAGGGGCAGCATTTGAATCCAGAATCTGGCATCTACATCACTCTGCCTTAAACCTGGGTTTGCCCTTATGGTTTTAATGGTGGTGTAGTGGTTGAGAGCCACAGCTGGCAGTTCAAATCCACTAACCGCTCCCTGGAAACCCTATGGGGCAGTTTTACTCTGCCCTATAGGGTCACAGTGAGTTGAAATTGACTCCATGGGTTTGGTTTATTTTATTTTATGTGCAATTTCAATCACCAATGACAGCTGTATCCAAAGTAAAGTGTGTAGACATTTGGGGGCCTGAGAGTGTGTGAGGACCACTGATCATGTGTCTGAGTAGGGTGGGGTGGGGGTGGGTCAAGGAGCTGTGTGAGAGGCAGTAAAGTGGAGAAAGAACCTGCTGGTATGGTCGTGCCCTCGTGCAGGTAGGCCCAGTGTCTGGGGCAAGGGTCCTTTCATCCCACTTAAAGAAATAAGAGAGAAATTTGAGGAAGCGGAGGTGACATTGAGGGCTTGCCTGTAGTGACCACACAGATGGACAGTGGCGGCTACACACTGGGGTCACCCTGTGCCCCGCTTTCACTCACCTTCTTCAGTGACTGACTAAACAGCTGTTCTGCAGTCTTCCCCTTCTCGTCCTCCTTGACAACATAGCCCATCAGGCTGGGGTCAGACTGCACCTCTCCTGTCTGCCTTCGCACCTTGTTGACCAGCACCCATGCCCGGAGGTTGGATTGTGAAAACTCACCAACTTTCAGACAAAACTTGCTGATGAATTCATGGGTGAACCTGCAGGGGGAGCCAGGGACTGCTGAGACATGATACGAAGCTGTCAGCCCTCCCTCCCGGGGCTCACTCCCCAAGTCCTGGGGAGCAGACAGTCGACAAGGAGGACCACCCCTGCCCCTTGAGGATTCACCAGGGCCATTGGAACTACCCTTCAGCCTCAATCCACAGATGAGGACTCAAGGTCTCTTGGTCACAATGTTAATGGTGAAAGGGCCAGGAGGGAACCTGGGCTTGTGGCATCTCGGCCAGTTCTCTGATCATAATACACCAGGCTGCCCCTCCAAGCTGGCCCCATTTAATCACCCACAGGACACTTTGCCTGAAATCTCTGGCCTTCAGGCTGCGGCCCCTCTGGGGTCTGGAGGTGTCGTGAAGGGTCCTGGGGGAGAATGCCCTTGGGCTTCTCCTCCACAGAGGCCACATCAACAGTCCCATGTCTCCAGATGGGGTCCTCTGAGACCCCTGCTCGGGTCCACCTTACAGGAAATCCTTCCACCAGCAGAGGGCCCACGCCAGCTCTGGGAACCCCAGGTCTCCCACAATCACACCTGTGATTCCCAGACACCACACATTTCCCACAGAAAGATGTTTTATTATTCCTACCATTAGCAACCATCACAATGATTGTTTACAAACCGGACCACTTTTGGCCTGTCAAGGTGCTTTCTCATCCCAGTTATCTTTTGTGATCCTCAAAATAGCCTTCCAGGTAGGTGGGGTAGATATGGTTATGTCCATTATGCAGATTAAAAAAATGAGACTGGGAGAGGTTCAGGGATAGGCATGGAGCCACACAGTGAGTTAGGGCAGATCTGGAACCAGAAGCAGGGTCTCCGACCCCTGGGCCAGCACCCCAGTGTCCATCCTTTCCTGCCCTGACTTCCTCATCCATTCCCCACCTCCCCCAACCCTTACCTGTGGTTGGCAGGGATTCTCATGGGGCCCAGATCACCATACCATTGTGCCCCAGGCACTCTGTGTGTCTCTACTCTGCCACCTACACGCCCTGAGGCCTCCAGGACAGTTACCTAGAAAGATAGACAGTTCCGGGTCTCAATAAAGGTGTCCATGTCCCCTCCACATTCTCCTTTTCCCTCCCTGCAGACCCAGCTCCCATAGCCCTTCCCGAGGTCTCCCTCTGGTTATGGGATTTAGAACCTAGTTGTCAGATCACTCAGCTCCCCTAGCCCTTCTATCCCTGCCCAGATCTCTAATACCAACCCCTGCACCACCTCTCTGAGGCTGTCCCACTCAGCTCTCTCTCCCCTCTGTCTTGGAGCTAACCCCTCCCTCCCTCATCCCATAGCGTACCTGGTGGCCTGCATCCTGCAGGATCTTGGCAGCAGTAAGCCCAGCCATGCCTGCACCAATCACCACTACTCGCTTACTTTCGATCGTCTGTCCCAGCCCCACTCTCGCCACCTGCAGCAACGCTTCATACTGGGGGTCCTCAAAGCACTTCATGAGCTGGCTGTAGAAGGCCTGGGTGCCTGGACTCAGCAGGAATAGGGGCACGAGGGCCAACCACCCTGGGCACATGGCTACAGAGATGGCAGTTGGGCAAATGACTGGGGAATCGAGGAAGCCCAGGCTAGTCTTAACCCTCCTTCCAAGGAGAGGTTGTGTCACTGGGCCTTGTGATGCAATATCCCATGCTTCCAATGAACTTCCTCCCCTGCCCGAGGGCACCTTAGTCATGGGACCGGCCAGGCTTGGCCTCCCCTGCAGTTCAGTGCTGCTCCCTCACAGCCTCACTCAGGGAGCCATTCCAAGCTGGTCACCTGCCCAAGTGGCTGGCCTTCAGCCCAATGGGGGGATATCACATTGGGTGTCTCTATTTCTCTCCCTTAGGATTGATAGACTAGACATCTCTATGGCTGTTTCAGAGTACCTGGGTGGTGCAAACAATAAAGCACTTGACTACTAACTGAACGCTGGTGGTTCAAGTCCACCCAGAGTCTGGAGGCCTGGAAACTGCTTCCAAAAGATTACAGCCACTGAAAACCCTATGGAGCCCAGTTCTACTTTGACACACTTGGGGTCACTAGGAGTCATGGTTGACTGGATGGCAACTGGAAGGATGGTTGTTGCAGTGAGAAGACCCTAACTGACCTACAGCAGTGGAAGGCCGTGGGTTAGGATGGTGAGTATAAAGACATAATTTGATAATGCCAACAGTATCTGAGAATATACAGCAGGCTATGAACTTCTCCAGCCCCAGGGAAACATCAGCTCTTCCACTTTTCACCCTTGAGGTAGTTAGGGCTGAACAGCCTCATTTCCCAGAGAGAGCTAAGGCTCAAGGAGGTTAAAGAATATGCTAGATGGTGATTCTATGTTTCTAATAGCTGCCTCTGAGCAGGCTTCCATCCCATTCCTCTTATTCATTTCCAGCCCAACTCCCAGGGAGTGACGCTCTATACCTCCTTGGTCCTATTTCTCACAGCCTTCTCGATAGGACCCTATGAAAGGTCTTTGTTTTTGTTATTGTTGTTTTCTTGTTTTTAAAGCTAAAATCCATCACCATGTTTCCTTTGAGTCTCTGCCCATGGTGTGAAAGTCGAAAGGGGCTGGCTCTGGTCCAGCTCACATTTAAAAAATGGGTATTCATTTCATACAGGTAATATGTGATTGTATTCTTTTTTCCAGTCTCAGGATTTATATTTAATTTGTGCCACATTATCCCTTTCATTTACAATGAAGACAGGATAGTGGCATTACGGAAAATGGAAAAATAGAAGGACAAACCATTTGTAATCCCTCTTGGTATTCCTATTTTCTTTCTTGGGTATAACCACTCACTCTCCCACCCCAGTCCACTCAACACCTTTAACAGTTTGCTGTGATCACTTAGATTCTTGCACAGAGCATGAAAGGCAATTGTCAATCGCCTGCCTTCTCCATTTCGAACCTGAAATCAATCCCTTCTCACAGAGTCTGGTCCATAGTGAGCACTCAACACACTGTGTGGAATGAAGGATGGAGGGATAGACAGAAGGACAGGTGAGTGGAAAGATGGACAGATGGACAGGTGAATGGGTGGATGGACAGATGAAGGGATAGAAGGACAGAGGGAAGGAAGGATGCATGAACAGATGCTCCAGGGTGTCCTTTGATGCTCCCTTCTGTGCATTGTATCATCAATTCCAGCTTGAGGCTAGTGCCTCTCTGGCCCTCCACTCTACTTGTGCCCTATCTCTAGCCACCCTCCTGAATGCCTCACTGCTTTTACAGCTTCTCTCTGAAAATGTGGAGGCTTAGAACCTGTATGTCTGGCTCTCTAATTCCTTTAACTACACACACACACTGTTATGGATTGAATCGTGCTCCACCCACCCCCTACCAAATACACATTAATATCCTAACCCCTATACCTGTAAAGATGATTCCAAATCATGGAGACCACATATGTTATAAAATAGCACTGCTCTATAGGGTTGTCTTGGTTGGAATCTTTATGGAAGCAGTTCATCAGGCTTTTTTTCTGCAGCACTGCCAGGTGAGTTAGAACCACCAACTTTTAGGTTAGTAGTCGAATGCAAATCGTTTGCACTACCCAGGGACCTCCTTGAGCTGAAGGAGATATCAAAAACATCCCAGTACAGCCTTTTTATCCCACAGAGAAGAAGACAGATCCAGAGGGGCTTTTATACTTGGTGCTGAACAGGTATTTACTATTTGCAAAGTGAAATCAACACTAGACCACAGCCCTGAGTGACCCACCACCCACCCTTTACCCACCTGAACTAATCAATCCTGTCTCTGGGGTAGGGGAACCATCAAGCAGCCCAGATGTCTGCTCTGAAGTCAGGGAGGGCCTGTCTTGTCCACCCTGCTTATACCCCAAAATAGTAGGGTATAGTTCCATAGTGGACCATTACAGACAATTTTTTAGATGAATGAATGAGGAATAGATATGAACCCATACATCATAGATTTTCAACTTCAAGGAAATTCTGTCCTTTTGTCTCCTCCAAAGTCAGATAGTATGTATCTATTTTTGATCTGGAAAGCAGGGTCACCCTAGGGCCAGGGGCAGAGCAGCAAAGGAGGAAAGAGTGAGGCCCCTTTGGGTACACAAACCATTGTGATAAACAAACTGAAGTATATTCATACAATACCATCCAGCAATTAAAAAAAAAAAAACTACCAATATACGCCATGTTATGGATTGAATTGTGTCCCGCACAGAAATATGCTGAGGTCTTTACCCCATACCTGTGAAAGTGACCTTGTTTGGAAATGGGGTCTTTGAAGGTATTATCAGTTAAATTAAGATGAGGTCATAAAAGAGTAGGGTGGGTCCTAATCCAATCTGAATGGTGTCCTTATAAAAGAAGAGAAGAGACAGAGAGACAGACAGATGCATCTATAAGCCAAAGAATGCCTGGAGTGACCAGAAGCTGGAAGAAACAAGAAAAGATCTTTCCCTAGTGCCTTCAGAGAAAATATGACTGGGCCAACAATACTGATTTGGACTCCAGAACTGTGAGAGAATAAATTTCTGTTCCTATAAGCCACCCAGTTTGTGGTACTTTGTTACAGCAGCCCTTGGAGACACAACAACATGGATGAATCACATAGACATAATGCTGAGCAAAAGAAACCATTTATATACTAAATTATTCCGTTTACATGACATTTAAGAGCAGACAAAACAAATCATTGGGAATAAAAGTCCTCATAGGGATTATCTCTTGGGAGTGTTAACTAGAAACAGGCAAAAGAGAAGTTTTTGGGGTGATGAAATTATTTTCTATCTTCATCTGGGTGATGGTCACATAAGTTTATAAAGACAAAGTTTCATTAAGCTATACACTTAAGACGCTTGTACTATACTATATATAAATTATACCTCAGTAAAAATTTAAACCACTACCTGTCAGTTTTTCATACTGTGGTAGCTTGCATGTTGCTATGGTGCTGGAAGCAATGACACTGGTATTTTAAATACCAGCAGGGTCATCCACAGTGGACAGGGTTCAACAGAGCTTCCAGGCTAAGACAAACTAGGAAGAAAGGTCTTGTGGTTTACTTCTGAAAATTAACCAGTTAAAACCTTATGGATCACAATAGAACATTGTCTGACTTGCTTGCTTTGGACACGTCATTAGGAAGGATCAATTGCTGGAAGAAGACATCATGTTTGGTGAAGCAGAGGGCCCAAGAGGGTGAGGGAGACCCTTGGTGAGAAGAATTGGCACAACAGCCACAATGATGGACTTGAACATGCTGGTGACTGTGAGGATGACACAGGACCAGGTAATATTTTGTTCTGTTGTACGTATGGTTGCCATGAGTTGGAGTGGACTCTACAGCAGCTAACAACAACAAAAATTTAAAACAAATTCTAAAGTGTAAAACAAAAAACGTACCCATGGGCTAAAATTAAAGTAGCTTTTTTCCTAGGTCTAAAAAAAGAGAGACAATAGTGGAGGAGAGAGAAAATAAATGAAATTACTATACACTATGTGAGATGATGAAAAGGGTTCTGGAGGACCTGAAGTGGTAAAGTCCTGGGGTGGACAATGGAGCCCAGAGAAAAAGGGGAACCGCGGGGAAGGAGGTCAGGTGTTAGACCAATGCAGAGTCAAGCTGACATCTGCTGAGAGCCTCCCCTGTGCCAAGCCCTGCCTGCCTGCATAGCTTCTAGGACCCAACAAAGTCCTTAGAAGCCCGAAGCACTGACATTTGGAATTCTAAGTAAAACATTGCCAAACTCTAATAGAAGAAAGCTCAACAGAGTTCTGAGTTTTCTCAATGTGTAAAAAGAAAATCCAATATCAAATTAACGTTTTTAAAGGATTCCTCCCACTCATCCTTTTTAAAGGATTCTTCTGTGTTGCTGGAGTTTCTGGGTGGTGCAAACAGTTAACAAGCTGGGCTGCTAACCAAAAGGTCGGCAGCTTGAGGTGCCTGGAAGAAAGCCTCAGCAATCTACTTCCAGAAAATCAGCCATTTAAAATCCTTTGGAGCACAGTTCTACTCTGACACACATGGGGTTATTATGAGTCGAGTCGGAGTCAGAGTTGGAGTCGCCTGAATGGCAATGGTCCCTGTGTTGCCAGTGCTCAGGGCACTTGACCTCACTCTTCCTAATCCAACTCTGATTATTTCCTTCACCCCCCACCCCCCACCCCTGGAGGCAGGTCCTGTTATTACTGCTGCTTCCAGATAAGAAAGCCAAGACTCAGGGAGAGGGGCTTTCTGAGAAGGTAAGACGCAGTTGCATGCAGGCACTGGAGAACATGTGCTGTGCAAACCCTCTGGGAGGAGCTCTGTTAGGGCCACAGGACCAGAGGAAACGTGAACAATGCCTGGCTCAACCCCCTGGTGTAGATGAGTTAACAACACAGGTGCACACATAATCCAGGGCAAGTACAGGCACACACCTGAGGTCGAGGTGGTGAGATTGGCCTGGTGGGGCTGGCAAGGCTGGGCTGCCCGGAGAACCTCCATCTGTGAGGCGGGTGCTACCCTGGGAAAGTTGGAACTGGGGCCGCCACAGATGTGTCATGGGGCTGAGTGTTCATTTGCCAGGCACTGTT